AGACCATCCGGCAGGTCGACGAACCGTCTTTAACTTCCAACCTGCAGTCGCTTTCTCATCACCAGGCAGTTGCTTCTTTAACTATTTTGGTTTCTGTTCTAAACTCGCTTCAGCGGGACCCCTCCCTCCGACCTTTTTCTCGTTCCCAGGTGGGCAGTCACCCTTATCAGACTTGTCCTCAGTTGTGGAACCTCTATTTTCCAGTCGCCTTTCTCCCACTGAACTGCGAAATTGTGGAACACTTCCTATCTCCGTATTTCCAAGCTCTTGTAATCGGACTCTTCAAAACCAGGAATAACAAATTCATCCTCACTTGAATGTTACTCCACATATCTCCCTCCTTACAGTATGCCACTGAATATGGGGTTTACCCCTCACTTTGTGTGTAACAGAACTCTTCATTCTCCTCCAAACACTGCTGTTTTCAACCTAGAGGAGTAGTGCGCCATGGAGCGTCAACAATAATTGCGGTCAAGCATAGTTTGGACTTCTATTGATATAGATCAGTGCCGCACAAAGGCGGAAACGTGTACATGGCGGCAATGAAATACGTTGTTCCGCCTGTACGTTTATGTATTTTTCATCGAAAATCTGATAAAAAATAGGGGAAGTAAAACGAAACCAAATACTGAATTCCGTATACACAGAACCCAGCTAACTTACTTTTGTCTGATTTCTCTCCATCGAGTGATGTGTTGTTCGAGTAGGCCCTCCGGGGACATTTCCTTAGACGGGTTCTACGTAAAAGTTAAAGGCGGGTGCGCAACGAATCGTACCTCGACATTAATTACGAACGGTTGACCGTCCGAGGGTAATGGTGCCGGGATACGAAAATCGTTGTCCGTGAGACCATCGTTCGGTTTAGGAAGAGCATAATGACAGTCCGGTGCTTGGTCTGAGTTCTGTAAATAAGAATGGCGTTTTCCGGGTAGGCTTTCACTTAAGTGTTCCTTGGTACAAGAGGCAGGAACAATAGCGAAACGAACTTCAGAGGATCAATATGAAGCAGAAAACGCATACAGCGCCGACAGAATATCTCCCAACGACTGCTGTGACAATCTAAATTTTGAGTAACATGTACTAGTAGGACTTATAAGAGGTGGTAAAACGGCGAAGTTCGTCAGTGGAACGTTTTCTATCGGAACTACACTTAATAGTGTTATTGCACAGAAATGAATACAGTAAAATGATTAAACCCCATAATACAAGAATATACTTTAAATGGGATGGTGAAGGGAACATCCAAGCTAGAAAAAGCTTGTTGATACTACGGTTGAAAACGATGTTGTGAGACTAAGAGACGGACAGATGTGCTGTTCTTGAGGGAAAAGGTGACTGTAAGTTAGCAATGCGAGAACTGGGGGTAGTCACTTGAATTAGAGGATTAGCCTCACCTCAGAGTTGCTTACACGCTCGCTCCATCCAACCCACGCCACATTATGTCAACATTGACAGTCGAATTTTTCTAGACGACAAATATCTACCACGCGCAAATATAGGGTTTCTCAACCGCAAAGTAGAATTGACCGCACACTGGCGCAGTATACACGACCTTTCAGTCTCAACGAAACATCACGTCTGCACCAAAGGTGTTTAAATCTTGCTCCAGCCTTGCAAATGCGGACTGTTACTCCCTTGACTGTTCTACCGTCATTTACCACGCAGCCACCTAAGTGGGTGAAACATTCCACCATCAAGCATCAGTGCCGGGATAAACGATACCCAATCTTGTAGCAGCACTTTACACTTTTAAGGTGCAAAACACATACCGAAAGGAGTTACAGAACTTGAGAGTCTGTCAAGAGCGCTTTGCGTATCCTCCATAGATTCGAACACGCATACGATGTCATCAGCGTACTCCAAATTACACAACTTTTCTCTAGCTGTCCATTCAATACCTACGTTTTGGATACCGCTAAGTGCGTTCTCCAGTACTTCGTCGGTGTGGGCAACCGCGAAGTATGCAGAGCCCTAACGTCTTAGGCACCCATTTGAAAAACCTCCTTCCGATCTCTCTGGTTCTTCCTCTCAATCCCAAATAACCCCAGACGCCTGTTTACGCCACCCATCTAATATCACTCAGCGTTTTACCAGCAAGCCCAAACAACCAGAAGTTACGGGATTCTTGAAGCCAAAATTTCCTTTTCACTTAGCCGCGTCCAATGCCCGCACACTCTATCAGTATCCAGGTTATATGATAGCCGTTAGTCCTTTTTGACCTCGATGATGAATTTACTTTCCATGTACTTTATGTAAGCCTGTATCTACCCAATGCAATTTGAATTGTGTTCACTGCGCTACCATGGTAAGATCTCAAGTGTGTTTACAACTAGTTGATCGCGTAAATATCCATCGGTTGTATCTCTGGAGGTTGACCTAAAGGATTTAGAACACCTGAAGACTACAGTCAGCGAAGCTGTGGGCTACGGGTTGCGTCTCTAAGTGGCTGATGGGATTAAATTCATCAAGATCGTTAAAAATGAACAGGTGGGCGACGCTTTTCGCAGCGATCAGCGGATTTCGCCGTACGACGATGATAATGACGATGGTGCTTCCGTGAACAAGCGATTGCGGGCGACCGGCGGTGATACTGGAGGACGGGCAAATTTTTACCTGGCGAGTGGACTCTGTATTGAAAAACCCCAAGTGTATGTAGATCTCATGGTGAAGCGTGCGATATTGGCCCGCCATCAACCAAGGCAATCTCTGCCACCCTGTTGCTCTTCAGGTAGCACTAAGCTGTGCAAGCGACTGAGGGATATCCTCTAAGAAAAAACCGTGGTGTTCGAGTTATCAACCAGCACTTTAATTCCGTATCCCTCATGGATATTTGCCCGTAGAAGTCAGCTGATACTTATGCAGGAGTCTTCTGAAACTAAAAAGTGAACATATCGATCTGCCGGAGGTGTGGATTGTTCCGAAGGTTAGGAAAACATAACTGTAAACTAACCTCTTGATCTTCATCGGTTGGTGGAACATCATTCCATGACGATGCATCCCCTTGGTTGAGATTTCGTATCCAGGCTCTAGCCATTGGATAAAGTGGAGCCATTTCTCCAAACTGTCCAAAGTCAACGCTGCGCTCGAACACTTTGATAACAAACGATTCTGAAGAGGAATTAACGGAACAGCGAACGGTTCTAACCTTTATATGCATCTTCGTCCTCTGAGGGGACACGACGTTTTTTTCGTTTAATTTCGCCTGAGCCACACTTGACATTCATAAATGGCGAACGAAACTTTTCCTTATCTTGCAACTCTTTTCGTCCCATTACGTCATCGCGATACTTTGAACTGAGCTTACTGACTGGATGATACAACGGTTAGTAAGCTCTTACGTCTTTTCTGGATTTTCTTTTAACGCCTGAAGTAACGAATCTAACTTGTCTCGAGCAAAGCTCAGTTCCGTGTCTAAGATGCTCAATTACCAAAGTAAAACCATACCTTCTCCTTCATGCCACCAATGTTGTTCATTCCAAGACATGATAAATTTTTCACCTGAAAAATAGAAAACTTCATACAACGCGTATCACAGGAGGCACTTGACAAATTCACTCCAATTTAACAGTTTTCTTCGAAAGTCAAAACACTGAGATTAAAAGAGCGGACCAAAACCGTATCGCTAAAGATTTGATGTAACATGCAGATAATAATCTAAATGAGCCATTGGACTAGGCTGAATACATCAAATTCAATGTGTAAACTGTAGAGTAATCAGTTGAATCAACTTCTCGCTGGTATTATAACCTGTCGATTTTGGGCCGCACGTGAACAGTGCACGTGTGAGAACCAGTCTGGTCTTGNTTGTATAGACCAAGTTTTCACCCCTCGACAAATAGTAGAGCAGACGTTCCTTTCGTAAATCCACCATTTCTGTCCTCTTTGGTCTGAAAACGGCTTTCGACTCAGTGGACCGCTGTAAACTTGGGCGCTGACCCCATCTCTCTAAGATGTGAACGGGAAGTCAAGCTCAACTTCGGGACCTCTTTATACTAACAGCCGGAGCGGAGTCCCATTTTTCAACACTATTTCTCCCGAGTTCAACGCAGAAAGTGGTGTCCGTCAGGGTTGCTTTCTCTCTCCGTTTCTATTTAATTTCGTCATAGATCTAATTCTTGAAATAGACCTATCTTCGTGCGGGGATAGAAGCATCGATTCACCCCAGGTGGCAGACTGTCGTATCCGGAGTATGCGGGTGACATTGTGCTACGACGGTATTGCACCTTGACGTGGTGTGATGGCTTGTGCACCTCTGTGACCCAACGAGCTCCACAGGATGACGGTGGTGGCCAAGTGTTTGAAATCAACTTCTGACCTGTGAGTTCGGAGTTCGAACCGCTGCCCGTCATCTCAGGTAGCCTTTGTATGGCCGCTGCCCCCCATCCTGAATGTTGACTGTGAATTGGTATCTTCAATGAGCAAAAGAGGAAGTAAAAAACATTACTTATTATGTAAGCCAGGAGATCTTATTATGCCTCGAAGGTCAATGGGAGGTCAAACAAAGTTTATTCTCCTGGTCCTTCAGGTTGGGGGTCCGACTTCAGTTGGCGTCTCAGTTGATAAAACGTGTTGGAGGAATAATTGATCCAAGTTAATGGGCCTCAAATCCGCCTTAACCGCTGCCTTGCGGTTAGGGTCGTGTGAGAACTAAATACTTTGGCCAAGAACCCTAATAGTTCTCCTGCTTAGTGGCTGGACACTCTGGCAGCACCCGTCCACCAAACCCCAATGCATACACAAAATAAAAATAATTTCATACTGCATCGGTCGTCGCGCAGGACAACCAGGACCGCGCAGCCCATCGCACAGAGCGGGGTAGGCAGTGATAAGTGGGCTACTGCTCAGATATCCCATCTTTTGTTTAATTCTTTGTCTTCAGCACCCAGCCCTCTCCATTTCCCCCTTATTCCGACCTGTAATAGTCCCTCGAGCAACTTGGATGTCGCTCGACAAAGATCGTTGCCAAATAGCACTGTAAATAATGTATCTCGAAACGAATTGCAGATCCCAAAGCCTCATCAATCACTGCATCTGGGGACCTTC